TAATATAATATAATATAATATAATATAATATAATACAATATAATATAATATAATATAATATAATATAATATAATATAATATAATATTTAAATATTATATTATTATTATTATATATTACTAAATAAAATAATATAACATTTCTTTTAACAGTAAGCGAAGCTGCATAGCCATTGATAAAGTATATAGAAGTAAGTTACATAAACATTTATTTCTTATCTTAATAATTTCAATGAATTAAAAATAACAGCAATTCTCTCTCTCTCTCTAGATTCTTAAAATATTTTGACTGGTCTGCAATCTTTATTATTGTTATTATTATTATTATTAATATTAACTATTATCATTGTTGTTGTTATTATTAATAATAATTAATATTAATAATCAGTGCGTTCCCTACAATCACGATTCTTGAGTTTCGATTGTTGCCGCGAATCAGCAAAATAATTTTACGATTTGATTCGCGCATAGTATAATAAAAATTACGGAGGCAACAGCGATGGTTCCTGGGAGGCTTGGAAAGTGGAACGACCTTGAGTTTCATTGTTGAATAAATGCTCGCGAGAACAAACGAACGAACTGGTTGCATCACAGTTACGAATGATACGTTCGCACGATTCGTCCGCGATACTTTTTTTTTTCTCTCCGTTCTACGGAGAATCGCACACTTTTGTTCGGGGATTGCGTATACACTGTGATACGTAATAACGACGTACGGTACTAGTCAGGTCCGTTGCCACATTGAGAAACTGAGACAACCTGCTGCCTGTCTTCTGTACGATTTTTCGCAGAAAAGCCATGATATCTGGATGAATTAACTGTTGTGGGAACACGTGATTCATAAGTCTCGCCGTTTACAATTAATTTCAAAATTGTCAGGCGAAATGTTTATTCATCATTTGCGACAAGAGGTTGTTGAATAGAAGATTTCTTTTCTGAATAATTTTAATTATAAAGTTCGCAGTCGACTCGTCGAATAACACATTGCACATCAAACCGCATAGTCGCAGGGTTTATAGTATAATTTTCATCAGCTTTTCATCAGCTGTACGACCCAAAATGTTTATCCCTTTCGATCCTAGCGGAACACATGCGATCCGGTGATTATTTCTGATTGCTACTGTATCATAGATGCGCAATTTTGCATACTAATATGGATACTGCGAAAGGTTTTCTTTCTAGGAACGCATCGATCAAACTTACATACTTGTGTCTCAAAGTTATGTTACTTCCGGGAAATGAGAGGTTCCTGAGGTCATTCGAAGTAACTTTTTCCTTAGCGAAAATGCAATCCGCGGCTTTGTTTACGAGTTATTAACGAAAAACAGTGACCAATGAGAGGCGAGATCAGCTGGCGCGAGACGGCCGAGCCAATTAGCGGGAACTGGACTTCGTACGCGCCCGTCCCGCGTCAGCTGATCAGGCTGGCGTCAGCGTCGGCTCTCATTGGTCACTGTTTTTCATTAATAACTCGCAAACAAAGCCGCAGATTGCATTTTCGCTAAGGAAAAAGTTACTTCAAACGAGCTCAGGATCTCCTCATTTTCCAGAAGTAACATAATTATGGGACACCCTGTATAAGTTTAGTCGATGCTTTCCTAGAAAGGAAACGTTTCGCAGCACACGGTTGTGCGATATTCAGAGTAATATAGCGGTACTGTTAATGGGCCAGGTAAAACCAGAACAACTCATTTTGATAAACTTATGAGTATAAAGTTACTGGTACCTTATAACTTGGCAATGCACTATAGTAGCATTCATTTGATGGGTGCAAAAGAAATCTGGATTATTGGGGGGAGAGACCTGGATTATTGAAATTATTATTATTGAAATCTGGATTATTGCTGTACGTTCCTCGAAGGTATCATGTTTTAATACGAATCTCAGGAATAATTCGAATAGTGCACAGTTAGTGAAAAGTAACAGAATTTATTTTTATATTAGAAATGTATTGATTAAAACGAACACGTCTTCGTAGCCAACACGATTAAACTATATTGCATAATATAACGTATGTATATACATACATGAAAAATGTAGTTTATTTGATTCTGATAAATTCCGTTATACACTTAGGTTT